TGTTTTTTGGCCATTATTCTGTCTTCTTTTGAAAAGTTTCTGTTCATGTCCTTTGCCCACTTTTTGATAGGGTAAGGCCGTGTCTTAATACTCCCTCTGTTTCATCTACTTTGTCCCTACATGAGCAATAGGTCCTCTGCACTTGCTGATTATGAATAAAATAGAGGAATGAGAATGTCTCCTGGCTGTCATCTGAGTCAAAAAGTCTGTGTCTGTCATTATATTAGACTAGAAGCCTTTTTAGGTTACAGAGCATATTGTGTATATCTTTGGTAGCCACAACATGTAGCACAGTATCTGAATTTGAGTAGGAATTTGGTAACTTTTGGTAGCTATGCTGATTAATCTCCTTGGAAGAAAAGAACTTTATGAGCTACAAATGCTAAATAATGAGATTGTAAATGGACTAGTCCCACAGGCTGCATGTGTTTGAAAAGTTACTGTTACGTGAATGCAAAATTGTTAAGATATGACGTCCTCAGATGGATGTCTTCACTCAAACTGTGCATGTTCCTTTAATTTATTAAGCAAAGAGCATCTCTCTCCTTTCCCTTTCTTGTAGGTTGCCATGGCTGCTGTTGACAGCTTCTACCTCTTGTATCGGGAAATTGCCAGATCTTGCAACTGTTATATGGAAGCTCTAGCTTTGGTTGGAGCCTGGTATACGGCCAGAAAAAGCATCACCGTCGTCTGTGACTTTTACAGCCTGATCAGGCTGCATTTTATCCCTCGCCTGGGGAGCCGAGCAGACTTGATCAAGCAGTATGGAAGATGGGCCGTCGTCAGTGGTAACCTAATTTAAAATCGAGATGATCTTTTCTGTTTAAGTTGTATTTTAAGTCAGATGCATTTTCAAGGAGCTGTTGAATTTAATGTGATCTTTTCATGGGAACATACTGATAAAAAAAAAAAATAAAACGTATGACTCCTGCTCTGATTATGTTCACATTTTCTTACTGCTCTCAGGAAGAACTTGCCCCGTGATTTGTATCTCCCTAGATCTGCCCCTCCTATTCCTGGGTCTACTCCAGCCCCATATCCTACCTCTTCCCTTTGCCTTTTGCTCTCCGTTTCAAGATTATCCCTAGAAACCACTTTCAGAAATGCGTTACCTGTTTTGAATTTTATTTTAGTTTATCGTTGTTTCCCAGAAAAGCCAGATAGAAGTTTGAAAACAGATTCCTGCTGTCTCATGATCCATGCGGTGAATGTAAAACAGCTCCTTGTCGGGTGTCTGGGAGAGCGCTCAGCAGGCATCGCGCACATTATTGATGCCGCGCTGTCCTTGACTCGTAAATACCAGAACTTGCTTTATTTCCAGTGTGAATTTTCCTCTGATTAAACCCGGCAGTGGGGTATTTAAGGTCCTTTTTAAAGGTCGCACCACGGAGCACACTCACTTTTCCTGGCTTGCGTCGCAGGTGCCACGGATGGGATTGGAAAAGCCTACGCCGAAGAGTTAGCGAGCCGGGGTCTCAATATCATCCTGATCAGTCGGAACAAAGAGAAGCTGCAGACTGTTGCTAAAGACATAGCCGACACCTACAGAGTGGAAACCGATATCATAGTTGCGGACTTCAGCAGGGGCCGGGAGATCTACATTCCGATTCGAGAAGCCCTGAAAGACAGAGACATTGGCATCTTGGTAAATAACGTGGGCGTGTTTTATCCCTACCCCCAGTATTTCACTCAGGTCTCCGAGGACAAACTCTGGGATCTCATAAATGTGAATATTGCCGCCGCTAGTTTGATGGTCCATATAGTGTTACCGGGAATGGTGGAGAGAAAGAAAGGTGCCATCGTCACCATCTCTTCTGGCTCCTGCTGCAAGCCCACTCCCCAGCTGGCTGCGTTCTCTGCTTCTAAGGTCAGGTATTACTTACTGGAAAATGAATCCCTAATGCAACAGAACGTTAACTAACAATTGCTTGGTCTGATTTGTTGAGCTGTTTGTCAGAAACTCATGTTTGCTTATACTATTTTTTCCTAGTAAGTTTTTTTCTCCTAAATTTTCTTTTAAGTTCCTCCCAAATTAAAAGTCTTTTCCTCCCCTCTGTTTTAACAGGCTTATTTAGACCACTTCAGCAGAGCATTGCAGTATGAATATGCTTCCAAAGGAATCTTTGTGCAGAGTCTCATCCCGTTCTATGTAGCTACCAACATGACTGCACCTAGCAGCTTCCTGCATAAATGCCCCTGGTTGGTGCCTTCGCCAAAAGTGTACGCACATCATGCTGTTTCTACCCTTGGAATTTCGAAAAGGACCACAGGATACTGGTCCCATTCTATTCAGGTAGCGCTGCGTTTTCAGGTCTTGTTATTAAGTTAATGCACTGTTAACCTTTCTAAATGATACGTAGGAATCTGATTGAAGCCTGATGTGGAAAGATGAGAATTGTAAATTCCAATTTTTAAACCTGACACTGTTAATGATTTTGGTTAAGACACTAAGTTCTCTTTTGTAGGATAATTAAAAATTTTCAAAAGTTCAATCTACATGGCATCAAAAAGATGAAATATGCTGCTTTAATATAAGTGGATGGTAGCAGAATAAAAATACTAAGTATGTATTTATGGGAATTTCAAAGTAAAAAAAGATTCTAGTAATGGTTGAGGGGTACTGCTCATAGTATAATCCATAAAAACATAAAACAGGTCTATATTATATGTAATAACCATTATGTCAAATAATATCTCAGTATATTCTTGGACTCCTTTGCTCAAGAAACATAGAATGTTTTTTATTTTATTTATTTATTTATTTTTTTAATGATCTGTGAAATGAGTTGTTAGGCCATTTCGTTGTTGTATGGGCATCACAGAGTGTACTTGCATAAACCTAGGTGGTATAGCCTACTACATGCCTAGGCTATGTGACACAGCCCATTTCTCCTAGGATCCAAACCTGTTCAGCATGTTACTGTATG